CGGTCTAGATCTTGGCCGATCTCGGTTTTGGTCGGTCTCGATCCTAATCGGTCTCAGGGTCTCGAGCTCGGCAATCTATCTTTACACCACGGTCCGATATAGTATGGGATCGAACCTTAGCCTGCCGCATTTCAGTGCAAGCCAGATTTTGACCGTATATAGTGATGCAGTATTTATTATATATGAATGTGAATATTTACGACAGGAAAAATACGAGTTGTCTTTGGGTTTTTTATGGTCATGTCCTTGTGGTATGCTCGAGTGATCTTGTTCCTCATTTTAGAGAGGTCAATGCTCTACATTTGTTCCTAAAAAGTATAAATGTGAACATTTTATTTAGCTATGTTATACTTCACGCGACATTGCACATATCTTATTGAAGATTAACATCTAATAGTGGTTTCTCCTTTCTAAATTCTCTTCGAAAACATTAAAAAAGAGTTTAAAATGATCATATGAAAAAAGAAGAAGACATGTTTAGTGTAATATTTTCAGAATGGGGCATGTGTCTCCCAACTTACGATGAGTGCTACATGCCCTTTTTTAAGTCAGCATCACAAGGAGTAGCATTTGCACGAATAAATGACTTTTAATAGAAAAAAATTATTTAATCAATTCCAAATACTAGAAAATTTCATTGATGGTCATTCAACTTTGTGTTCATTACCCAAAAGTCACTTTTCTTTTTTTTGTTACATAAAAATTATTTTACTATGCTCTAGTTATCACAATAATCACTTTGACTAGATTTTACAAACTTTTCACATGAAAAGTCTATTATGTTCTTGACATTATAAATCCTCTCATTTATGTAATACCTTCTATATTATATATTATATAATATACATTTACTAGGTATTTTACTTATAATTAAAATAATTTAATACTATTTTATTTATTATTTTGATAATATATTTGTACAATTAAATTTTTCTTAATATTTATTTTTAAGATATATAAATAGCATTATTATATTTGTCAATTTGTCAATAACATTACGAACAAATATCAAATCCACGTTCTTAATCATACTTAATGAAATATGTTTAATGAAAATTAAAAAATCAAAGCTCATTGATTTATAGACCAAGCCATACTCATTAATTTAATAAATAAAGGTCAAATACATAAACAACCCCTAAACTTGACGCCAAATTTCATTTAGACACTTTAACATACTCTTATTCCTATTAGATACTCCAAACACTCAAAAAAAGTGTGTCTATTGAACACTTAATCACAATTTGTCTTCAAAACTAAGCGCGTAGCCACCAAGCTCGCTGACATGAACAACATGACCAATAAATAGGCGACGCGTGTAAATTAAAAGAAATTAAAATAGCTTCCAAGACAAAAAATAGATTATATTCTTAATAATCCCTTTCCCTTACCCCTTTCGTTGTCTTCCTCATGTTCAGGCAAGAGAGGGTAGAATTGGTCTGCCACGACTTGCCGGAAAGTATTCGGCAACCAAGGGTATCTGCGTACTTTTTCCTTCTTGCTTTTATCTTCTTTTTTTTTTGGAAGGGAATTTGGAAGACTATAAGAAAGAATCTAGCTAGCCCATCTTGGTGTAATAAAATATAAAAAATAAAGAAATAGATTATATTACTCTTCAATTTCTGTTATATGTTCTCTGATGGAGTATACGATTTCAAATGCATATCCAAATATTCTTAACTTGCAGGAACCAATCTATATTTTCCAGTTTTTTGGTAAAAGAGATTTAAGATACACTCATCGAAAAACGCATATAAATTTGTGAAAAATCACTGAAAAATACAGTAAATCAGTAAAATGAAAATGGAGGATGGGGATGAGGACACAAGCTCTACCATCTTAGAGGGAGTTCTGTGGAGAAGAAAGAGGAATAAGAAAAAAAAAAAAAACTTTCAAAATTTTTCACGCGCCCAACTCCAAAGTGAGAGTCACTTTTGTGCCACATGTGCATGAGGTGTTCAATAGACACATTTTTGTGAGTGTTGGAGTGCTTAATAGGAACAAAATTATGTTAAAGTGTCTAAATGAAATTGGCGTCAAATTTAGGGGACTGGTAATGTATTTGGCCATAAATAAAATACTAACATTTAGCAAAATAACACATCATATTATTACTTTCAAATAAATAATATTAACAAATAAAGCCTTAGAAAAACTTAATATTAAACACAAATATCTTTAATTTTTTTAAAAAATTTATTGACTGTAGGATAACTTTTTTTATTTTTTCACATATTCTAGGCAACTGTCAAAACAAGACCACCCCACCACCCACCACTCACCCCACTGGACAACGGCGACCACCCCATGCCGGCGACAACCCCCACCAGCAGCAAACGCTCTTCTCCCTCTAACTACGCTCTCGATCAAGTGAGTAGTTCCACATGACTACTTTTCTCTCGATCAATTTTTAGATTTCTTCAATTGTCTTTACGATTGTAAAAGTAAACTTTCTGTTTATCGCAGATCTTTGATTTTTTAAGTGCATTTATTGTCATTTTCATGTTTTCTACTGTGATTAATGATTGTTTATCTCATTTTGCTTGTCTACATCTTAAAAATCATCCGCATTTGACTTTTTTTAGATCGATAGGGTTTTATTGTTTTTTTTTGTTCATTTCATCGATTTTGAGTTACTTCGACAGTATGATGTACTTCAATTTATAGATCGAGTGAACTTTCTATGTTTAATCACTGATTTTTGAATTGCATTTATAATTCTTTATAAGTTTTATCGTAATTAATGATTTTCTATCTTATTTTCCTATCTATGTTTAATCACTGATTTTTGAATTGCATTTATACTTTTTGATAAGTTTTACTGTAATTAATGATTTTCTATCTCATTTTCCTTCTCCGCTTTGTAAAAATCTGCCGCATATGATATTTTGTTAGATCGATAGTGCTTTAATGTTTTATGTTCATTTATTTTCTGTTAGATCACATATATTAGATTTGCAGTAGTTTCTCATATTTGGTCTACTTCCATTCTTTGTGCTCCTTTGCTACGACGGGGGCTTCACCAGTGGTAGCGGTGACAACCTCTTCCCCCTCTTGTTTGGCTTCGTGATGTTTTGTGAGTATTGCAAGTTAGGGTCATTGGCTTTTGGGTGGCGAGCAGGATAGCGTGTGCAAACAGTGAAGAACAGCCCGGGCGACTGTCAGCAAGGGGCAGCACGAGAGTTGGATGTGAACGTGCAAGGTGGCTACAACACCATCGTGTATACCAAGACAATTCCCAGGTTCTAATTGCGGGAGTTGGTACCTCCCGTTTTCCTGTTTCACTTCTTTGTGTTAGTTAAATTGAGGCCATCTTAGTTTGTATTCGTTTATTCACCATATTAGCGTGCATGTAGTTGCAACTTGTTTCCCTCTACTTTGGTCTGTTGCCTAGTGTATGTTAGTGATTTCCCTTGGTCTGTCGTAGGTATAGTGGCTATGGTCTGGGATGGTCGAGTGAGGTCATGTCCTCGGGAGATGCGGGGGGTGGGGCGGGATATGGGGCAGAGGCTAGAGGGTGGGAAGGGAGGCAATGGAGGTAAGGGGAACAAGGGTGCCTATAGGTTGAGAATTGGGTCATGGAACGTAGGTACATTGACGGGTAAGTTTATAGAGTTGGCAAAGATCCTCCGGAAGAGGAAAGTCAATGTAGCGTGTGTCCAGGAGACTAGGTACGCAGGGTCTGTCGCACCTCCTTTTTACCTACACTTGAATAGGTATTAAGAAAGTTTTTTCCAATTTAAGTGACAATCGAAACAGGATTATTTTATTTAAATTCATAGTCGCCACTTGGGATAATTTATGGTGTCCCAAGTCACTGGTTTAGAATCCTGAGTCGAGGAAAGTTAATTCTATCTACGGTATGCGAACACAGAAATCCAGGTAAGGAATTCTGTTAACCCGAGAGAAGGTGTTAGGTACTCCCGAGTTTCGTGGTTCTAGCACGGTCGCTTTGATCATACTTGGCTTAAACAAATTGTTTGATTACTGATTTTAGAACCTATGTGCATTCACCGCTTTTAATTAAGAAATTATCTTGAAACGGGTCACGCGTACGTGTACCCATTTGTTTGGCGCGTCAAAAATCATGTCACGCGAACGTGTCCACAATTAATAACGCTTTATTATTATTAAAAAAAGGTTTGGTCAAAGTTGCGCGAACGCATACCCCGGTTTTGTTTTTAGAATCGTAATTATGTCACGCGACGTGTACGCAACCACGATGGTATATTAAACGTGCCTAAAGCAGACTACGAATATCATTTTTAATATCTAAATCATAGAATTTATACGGGGCCCATGAATGATTAAATTATGGATGACACACCTCGGACTATATAAACTAAATTTAATTTAATGGCCTATTAAAATAATTTTATTATTAAGAAAGTTTGATCGAAGTTGCGCGAACGCATACTCCGAATTGGTTTTTAGAATCGTAATTATGTCACGCGAACGTGTTCACAATCACAATAATATTTTAAACGCGCCTAAAGGCTTTTCTACGAATATTCATTTTAAATAGCTAAGCTATAATATTCGTGAGGGCCATGAGTGATCTAATTATGGATGACACACCTCAACTCACTTTTTAAGAACTATATTTAACTAAAATAGCCTAAAAAAGTTCAGATTTTAATCTATGTTGGAATTAATGCTGGCCTTAGGCCCATAACTATTTTACGAAAACTAAGCTCCAGACCGAGCCCAAGAACGAAATCAGGGCAGGAGGTTGCTCGGCCCCAAGTGGGCCGATAAGTGCCAGGCCCAATGAGCTGTTTGGTCATGAACATTGTAAAATTTAAAGAAATACAAATACTGGCACGGTTTGGGCCCTAAAATTGAGCCTAGCGTGCAATACAAAAGGTCCAAAACCACACCAAGGGTGATTCTGACAAGGACATCCTTCTTGGCCTACTCCTGACCCAATTCATTTCTAGAACTGGTTGGCCTTATGACTACAACTAAAAAACCTTTACACAAATTCTGGGAATCAAAGATGCTCAACTACATATTACAAATACTAACTAATAGGCAGTATCAATACAACATTAACTGAAATTCCTAACTAATCACATAACACTAGCCATACAACCCTTTTCATGAAAGACATGATTCTAAGCTAATAACAGACCTTGACTTAGCATTTTTAAACCATTTAAATGAAAAGATGAAAACTGGACACAAGGAATAACACTCATCACCATGGCTTTTCAACATCACAAAAAAAAAAAAACTAAACTACTACACAAGCATGAAGATCCTTAGCCACATCACAAATCATCATACTAGATCTGAGATCCTAAAATAGATCTAAGGACAGAATATAGATAAAGAAAACAGTGAAAAGAAAAGAAGTGAAAATAAACGATAAAATAAGGCTAACACTACTACAAGAACTAAATGAATTTAACAGAAAACATCTGAACAACTTTCATCCGGCTGCAATATATCATTCAATCTCCACATTTGATTATACATTTCAAGCTTGCAATTCACATGTCATTTAAAGTCCAAGAGATACCTGTATTTCAAAATAAGGCAAAGGAGAGTGAGGATTCAGCAATAGCAAAACAGGAGCCAAGCAACAAATTAAATAGCAGGATTCAGCCCCCTTTTAAACCCTCTTTTTACCCAGCAAACCAGAGGTCCTTTGAAACTTTTAAGTTCTTCTAACTGTGAAAACCAAAGAGCAATTCCAACCAATTTTTCAGCCAAAATGATGCAGAAACTTTGAGTGTTTTTTAGGGTCTGAAAATCTGCCTTTAGAGTGACAGAAAGGTCTATATATATAGCCCTTTTTGGGTGCCATGTGCTGCTGAAAACAGAATGGGAATTATTCCCTCACAAGGCATCTTTTCTAACAGAATTGGGACAACTGGTAGCCTTTAATTGGCTCCAGCACTTGTGCTGGCCAGAATTGGGCCAGCTGCCCCAGATTCTAGAAGCTTACTAAAAGAAAATCTAGTCTCCTAATCTCAAATTAAACCTCCAAGTTTTCAATTGTTCAATTAATGCCCTAAGAGTTCCTAACAATTACTAACTAAACAAACAGAAAACAAGCAAACTAATATCTACAAACGGATTGAAAGAAAACCAAAGTTCAAAGTTGAAAAGAGTATCTGAAACTAGTGAATGAACCTAAACTTCTAACACGAAATCAATTCATAATGAACTAAGCTGGACAAAGAACCCCAAATGGATTTTGCACAAATACTGGAATGTTTCTAGCAACCAGAATGGATAAATTGATGCATTCTAAAACAGAATTAACAACTAAATGTGCTCAAATAACCAACAACAATGCAATTTGAACCTTAAACTACACCTAAATTCTTCTATCATAAACTAAAAATTAGAAATTATTATTGAAAATTGACTTATTTCATACATCGACTAAATTGACCTTAGACCTGTGACGAAATCCTAATCTGAAGCCCTAATATGAAAACAAAACAGAGGACACACAAAAGCTACCATGCAACTAAACAGAATTGAGAGGAAGAGATCAGAGGAAACAAAACAGAAAAGAACAGAGGTGAATAAATGACAAAGGCCAGGGAGTACCGATTTAAATCAACCAGACGATCAACAAAAGCAAAAGCGGAAGGCTGGCCAGGCTCAGAATACTTCGACGAGGCTTGAAACTGACCTAAACGATTATTCTGGACAAGAATAACCTATTCGGGCAAGCTTCCAACCAAGACGAACAAAGCTTCAAAGAAATCCCAAAATCAGATATTAGGTTGAACCTAAATCCGGAATTCGACAAGTTTTAAAGATTGTTTGGGAAAATTGTTAAGGGTTTTGGGTTTGGGGAGGCCTGGTGATTATAGGATATGAGTTTGAGGCGGTTTGAGTAAGTTAGGGTTTTTGAGGTTGGTGCTTTAGATCTGAAATCGGAGGAGATTGGTGGGGATTTGAAGGAATTGGTTTATGGATTTGGAAAGGGAAGAGGAAGGGGACTGACTGGTGAAAATTTGGGGAGGTTTGGAGTGGTGCCGCCGCCGTAGAGCGATTTTTGGCGACGGCGATGGACGGAGCCGGTGAAGGTGTGAGAGGGCGGCTAGGGTTTGGACTCTCAGAAGTTGAGAGATGAAATGAGGGGGATTGGAAATGGGGGGAGGGGGGTCTAATTCGGACAATTAAATATAATATGGGTGCCTAGTTCACAGCCGTTGGATCACATAAGATCAACGGCTGTGATGATGAAGACCTCGAAACAGTGTCGTTTGGAGTTTAAGTGGGAGCTGGACCAGGTAAAGGGGTTTTGGCGGATTTGGGTTGGGTAAGGGATATGTTTGGGGCAAATATTTGGGCTTCAGCATCAATTGACCCAAATTTGGATTTAAAACCAAGCTTTTCAATTCCCTTTTTCTTTTGTTTTCTTTTTTTATTCTTTTAATTAATTAAAACCTAAATTAAATTCTTAAATTAATCTAAGTTGTAAAATTAGATTAATTATCAAATTATAAAATTTATAAAAATTAATTGATCCTAAATCAAAAGAGAAGAACTACTGATCTAGAATTAAAAGCTAAAAAATATAAAAGTAAGCCAATTTTTGTGATTTTAATTTTTAATAAAGCAACTAATTTACTAATTAATCCTAAAAATATGAAAACAAAATCTCAATGCAATGCATGGTATTTTGGTATTTTCATGACTTAAATAAAAGTAAACATGCACAGAAATGCAAACAATTAACAAAATTCTATAAAATGGCGAATAACTGGAAAAATCTATTTTCTTGGATTTTATAGGAGTAATTCATATAGGGCAAAAATCATGTGCTCACAGGGTCGAGGGCGAGGGATGTAGACGGATATAAGCTTTGGTACTCCGAAGTCCAGAGGGGTAAGAATGGAGTGGGTATCTTGGTGGACGGGGAACTTAGAAAGTCGGTGGTTGAGGTTAGGCGGGTGAATGATAGATTGATGACTATTAAGTTGGTGGTTGGAGAGTGCACCCTAAACATCGTTAGTGCTTACGCGCCGCATACGGGCCTAGATGAGGAGGTTAAACGGCGATTCTGGGAGGGGTTAGATGAGATTGTGCGCCAGGTCCCGCCTACTGAGAGGCTTTTCATAGAAGGAAATTTCAATGGTAAGGTTTTTGGATTGGTGATTGCGAACTCTAGTTTTTCGAAGAGGGAGGAACATTTGGTTACTTTTCAAAACAAAGTGGCTAAGACTTAGATTGACTATCTCCTCCTCATGAGGAGTGACCGAGGGTTGTGCAAGGATTATAAGGTTATTCCGGGTGAGATACTCGTGACGTAGCATAGGCTCTTGGTGATGGACGTTGGTATTATGTTAAAGAGAATGAAAAGGTCTGGCCAAGGACGACCGAGAATCAGGTGGGGTGCCTTGACTAAGCATAAAGCACAAAAGTTGGAGGGACGGTTGTTGGCTATGGGAGCATGGAGGAACAGTGGTGTCGCTAGCATTATGTGGTCGACGATAACAGACTGTATAAGGAAAGTAGCGAGAAAGGTATTAAGGGTCTCGATGGGCGTCCTTGGCGGGAATAAAGGATACTGGTGGTGGAATGAAGTGATCCAAGTTAAAGTGGAAGCGAAGAAGGCGACATACCTGAAGTTAGTAGGGAGTACGGGTGAGGAAGAGAGGAGAGCGTGCATGGAGTGGTATAAGGTAGCTAGGAAGGAAGCTAAGCTGGCGGTCTCGGAGGTTAAGACTGCGGCCTATGGTCGTATGTACGAGGAACTGGGGGAAAAGGTGGAGAGAAGAAGTTATTTCGGCTAGCCAATACGAGAGAGAGGAAGGCTCGGGATTTGGACCAAGTGAGATGCATCAAGGACAACGATGGTAGAGTATTGATAGAGGATGCCCAGATCAAGAGGAGATGACAGACTTACTTTCATGAACTTCTGAATGAAGAAGGGGATCGGGATATTGTGCTAGGTGAACTAGAGCATTCCGAGAGTCACTGTAACTTTGGGCACTGCAGGCACATCGAGGTAGAGGAGGTCGTGGGAGTTATGCGTAAGATGACTAGGGGCAGAGGGACCGGGCTAGATGAAATTCCGGTTGAATTTTGGAAGCGTGCGGGTAGAACAGGCTTGGAGTGGTTGACCGAGTCATTTAGTGTTATTTTTAGGACGAAGAGGATGTCGGATGAGTGGAGGTGGAGTACGGTGGTCCCATTATATAAGAACAAAGGTGATATTCAGAGTTGTAACAATTATAGGGGCATTAAATTACAGAGTCATACGATGAAAGTTTGGGAGAAGGTGGTTGAAGCGAGGGTGAGGAGGACGTTGTCTGTATCCGACAACCAGTTTATATTCATGCCAGGTCATTTTACTACGGAGGCTATACACCTTATTAGGAGGTTGGTGGAACAGTACAGGGAAAGGAAAAAGGATCTGCACATGGTGTTTATTGATTTAGAGAAAACGTACGACAAGATTCCCAGAGAAGTTCTCTAGAGATGCTTGGAGGCAAAAGGCGTGACAGTTGCCTACATTTGGGTTATTAAGGACATGTATGAGGGGGCTATGACTCAGGTTAGGACAGTAGGAGGAGACTCTAAGCATTTTCCAGTCGTTATGGGGCTACACCAAGGTTCTACGCTCAACCCGCTCTTATTTTCCCTGGTGATGGACGTGTTAACACATCATATTCAAGGGGAGGTGCCGTGGTGTATGTTATTCGCCGATGACATAGTCCTGATTGATGAGTCACGAACCAGTATGAACGAGAGTTTGGAGGTCTGGAGATAGGCTCTTGAGTCTAAGGGTTTCAGGTTGAGCAGGACGAAGACGGAATACCTGGAGTGTAAATTTAGTGCGGAGCCAAGGGAAGTCGGTGTAGAAGTGAGGCTTGAATCACAGGTCATCCCGAGTTGTTGCAATTTCAAGTACCTTGGGTCGGTTATCCAGGAGGGAGGGGAGATTGACGAAGATGTTACACACCGTATCGGGGTGGGGTGGATGAAATGGAGGTTAGTATCTGGAGTCCTGTGTGACAAGAGAGTGCCACCGATACTCAAAAGTAAGTTTTACAAAGCGGTGGTTATACCGGCCATGATGTATGGAGCGGAGTGTTGGCCTGTTAAGAACTCTCATATTCAGAAGATGCAAGTAACAGAAATGAGGATGTTAAATTGGATGTGCGGACATACTAGGATGAATAAGATTAGGAATGAAGATATTAGGGAGAAGGTGGGCGTGGCTCCCATTGATGACAAGATGCGGGAAGCGAGACTCAGATGGTTCGGACACGTACAGAGGAGAAGCTCAGATGCTCCAGTAAGGAGGTGTGAGCTGCTGGTTTTGGAGAGCACGAGATGAGGTAGAGGACGGCCTAAGAAGAATTGGGGAGAGGTGATCAGGCAGGACATGACGAGACTTCAGATTTCCGAGGATAGGGCCCTTGATAGGAAGCTGTGGAGGTCGAGTATCTAGGTTGTAGGTTAGGAGATAGTTGAGTCTTTTCTTACTTCGTCCCTTTGTGAGGCTAGTCTGGTAGTTTTTCTAATCATCTAGTGGTAATGTTGTGTCTTACTACTATTTTACTACTATTTCGTTTATCATAGCGCCTGGTTTATACATTGTCTATCGTTTTTCCTTTGCATCTACTTTCTCATTTTCATGATGTTATTTTCCTATGTTTGCTATTAGAGGTACTGATATTGTGTCTTTGTGTTTTCGTCTTCTTGAGCTGAGGGTCTTTCGAAAACAACCTTCCTACTTCTTCGGGGTAGGGGGTAAGGTTTGCGTACACACTACCCTCCTCAGACCCCACTAGTGAGATTTTACTATGTCGTTGTTGTTGTTGTTGTTGTTGTTGACTATAAAAAACTATCATTTGTTAAACAAATCTATTTTTCTTATTTTAAATAAATATTAAAAAATAATAATTTTTTTAATTATTTTTATATTTAAAATATGTTCATGTTTCAATATGATTGAACAAATTGAGTGCCATGGAAAAATTAAATGTATGGATATATTATAAAATAATAAATAAAATAATTTAAAGTTATTTTATTTATAAGTAAAATACCTAGGTAAAATTATATTATAGTATATAATATAAAAGTTATAATAAATGAGAGGATTAATATCAAGGACATAATAAACTTTTCAAGTAAAAGTATTACAAAATCTGGCTAAGGTGGCTTTTGTGATAAATAGCGCAAAGTAAAATAATTTTTGTGTAACAAAAAAAAGAAAAGTCATTTTTGGGTAATGAATACAAAGTTAAATGATTTTTACGTAACAAAAAAAAAATAACTTTTGCGTAATAAACACACAGGTCGTACAAATGTTGAAATATTTTCTACCAAAAAACTTTGTTAGTTATTAGCGGTTATTGTAGTATTAAGTTTAGCAAAAGGTCTCCGTGTTGGCTCCATCAATAACAAGTATAGTACTTTTGATAAACAGAAGCTTGAGAATAAATAGATATGAATGAAAATAAATAAAGAATAAAAGTGATTAATGAATGCAAATATGATAATTAATTGAGTCATGGAGATGGTTCTCTGCTCGTTTTAGTCATCTTTGTTTTAGTGGAAGTATAATATTATGAAAAGCCATTTAAAAAGTTAATTAGTTCATCAATATCTCGAGAAAACTACTGAAAAATTAGAAGTTTAAAAAGAGTGTGAATATGTAATAAGAATAGTATTATCATCACAAAAGTCTTTCAAGTCACAAAAACGAGCTTCATTTTCAATCTGATAGGGTAGGAAGGAGGACAAATTTGATTAACAGCTTGTTTGGATGGTTGTTACCCATTGTATTGTATCATGTTATTACTTTAAATACGATGTTTTGATTGTTACTTAAATTTTATTGTATCGTATTGTTGAATCCGTCGTTACATAACGACGAAATGTGCCACTTTATGTAACAACTGACTTGATATGGTCGCGTCATTACCTTGTCTTTTTCTCTCAATCTCACCCTTTATTATAATTAAATAATTTTATTTTATCATTTACCCTGTATCATAATTTTTCTTTATAATATTACAAGTTTATTCTTCATATTGCTGGTGTGTCATATCATGAAACGATGACAAACGACACAATCTATCCAAACATTGTTTTATCAAACGACACAGTACAATACGATACATTACGATATGATACATTATGAAACGATGCGTAACAACCATCCAAATAAGTTGTAAAGGGACATTTAGCCATAAAAAATTCTTTTTCCCGTATTTTTTTTTTTTTGAAATCAGTGTTTGGCCATGAAAAATTTAATTTTCACTTGAAGTTGAATTTTGAAATTTTTCAAAATCTGAAAACTCCAAAAAGATGTTTCAAAATTTTCACTTCAAAGCACTCACAAAATGTCACGACCCGGATTTTTCACCATCGGGAGTCGTGATGGCGCCTACTAATGTGAGCTAGACAAGTCAATCCTTTAAACTAATTATTCCATTATCTAATTAATTCTTTTTAATAGATATAAAGCGATAACGTATAAACAACGAAATATTTATTTAAGCGGAAGGAAAAAAACAATAAAATATCTGATTCTGTAGCTATTACAACTACTTAAGCCTTAATCACCCAAAACCTGGTGTCACAGTGTCACAGACGGTCTAAAACTGCTAAATACAAAGTCCGAGAATAAAAGACACATTGTTTCTGAAGCAAAAAGATGAAACATGAAATAAAAGATAGAGGAGACGTCAGGGCCTGCGGACGCCTGCAGGTCTACCTTGGATCTCCGCGTGGACTGAAGGTAGCCTCCAACTACGATCCAAGAGCTGCTCCGGGATCTGCACACAGTGCAGAGTGTAGTATCAGCACAACCGATCCCATGTGCTGGTAAGTATCTAGCCTAACCTCGGTGAAGTAGTGACGAGGCTAGGACCAGACCACCAAATAAACCTGTGCAGTTATATAATATACAACGGAAAGTAAAGCAGGAATAAACAAGTAAAGATGGGAGGGGAAACATGCTTCGGGGAAACCAGGTAAAACAGAATATCAAGAGAACTATAAATGAATCAAAATCCAACCACTAACAAGAATAAGGAAAACAAAGGCAGATTTCACTTTCTTTTCACATCTTGTTGCAGGCGTGCAACCCGATCCCATTTCCTGTATCTCGTGGAAGGGCGTGTCACCCGCTCCCATTTCATTTATCTCGTGGCAGGCGTGCCACCCGCTCTCATTTCATTTANAGGCGTACCACCCACTCCTATTT